TGAGGCAATAAGATAATGTACTTGCATGAAATGTAATTACTAAAGAATTTTGCCAGATTATCCCCTTGCTACAGTTTGATCGATTTTTGCTAATGGATCGATAGGTATAAGTTCCTTGATTAAATCTAATGGAGTTTAAAGCACATTACCCTATTACTATAAGACATTATATACTAGCAGACATTAAGGGTACTGAATGTGGTTAAGTCAACGATAAGCATTAGATGGAATATGATATGGGTATTAAATTGTTAATTATTGTTAGTACATTTGTCATTATTTGAGTTGTTGGATTAACTTTCAAGCATCGTCTAGACATCATCTATTCTGCAATTTATTTAGTGATATATATGATCGAGTATTTATTTTGATTGCTTGTAAGTTGTTTAACGTCCTTTTCGAGAATTTTCACTCATTTAGAGACGTCACCGGCTTTAAGTGAAAGTCCTTGAATACCCAACAGAGAGAAGAAATTTAAAAGATCCTAACAAAATGACAGAATTTTCGATAAGCCGATCAAAGTGTTAACAATATTGAGTAATCCGAAGAGCCTTGGAATGGCTTGACAATGCGTGTATCTGGTTAACGATTTATATGTCATCAAAATTTTATAAGAATGTGAAGTTTCTTGGTTTTCTTTTCTTTGCAAGTGAGAGTAGGATGAAATATGAAGATAACGAACAGTATTCAATCTCGGAAGTTCAATGAAACGATACAAATTTGGAGCAGAGCAAACACGGACCTCAAAATTTAGAGGTGGGATCAGGTGCCATGGAGGAGTGGGCATCCCCTGCCGAACGGTCACACCCGCCGTGTGCTCCTTGTCATGATCGGGGGAAAAATGGAAAAATCCGTAGGCAGTTCAATGTATAAATAATGGCCTTACAATTAGAATTAAATAAGTCAATCAGCATTTGACTCAATGATAGGTTGTATGTGCTGACAAGGTTATGGTATCGACCGTAAAACTTACAAAAATGTTACTTCAAACGAGACTGTTGATATCCTTGTTTCATCAACTTGTTTGTCAATAGCTTGCCTCCTTTAAGAAATTGTTTATACGTAGAGCATGCTCTAACGTATCGAATCAACTGCCTCATATGCAGGTAATAAAGGGTAAACTGCTACGTAAGTAAGAGAAGTTGACGATTGAAAAGTTGAAGTCTTCACGTTAATTTAGATGAAAGCTTGAATAGAGGGGACGTGGAAGTCATTTAGAATATAGTATTAAAAAACTAATCCTCCATCGTTTTAGAATCTTATGTATCAAGTTTGTTCTGATCAGTTAATTTTAAAATGGTAATGTTCTGAAAGATATGTTTCTTGTCGAATTTAATTTTCCAAAGAAAACGACCCTCAATATATCACGTCTGTCTTTCGTGTTCTTTTTGTCCTGTTCTACAAAGAGGAGGTATATTGGTTATGGCAGGTTGTCTGACTGTCTTTCAGTCTGTCAATATTCCAAATAATTTTTTTGAAGGAAGTACCGCTTCTTTGCCAGCAAATAAATGAACATTTTTCTTTTTTCTGAAAATCGTATTCGACGTTTATGTGTTGTAAAATGTATGAAAAATGCAGAAAAAAGAAGAAATTTGAAAAATCAGTTAGCGTCGGACATTTATTCTTCTCTTTGAAACATAATTTCATTTATATTTCTATTGATTTCATTCTGGGATTATATAACTGTCAACAACATTTCTTACAAGAGCGTAAGGACATGTTTCCTTTTTACGGTTAATTACTGCTTTAGACAAAAATTCAATACTTTTAATTAATTGATCTACTTTAATAATGGGCAATTTTATTATTGCTTCCTCTTGTCACGTGTTTTATTTTTTTTTTGGGGGGGGGGGGGGTTATCCAGTCTATAATGCGTGTAATATTAATGTGATTTACAGAAATAGTCACGATATATCAAAATAAATTATACATTTGGAAATGTAACATACAATGTATATCTTATAACTTTTTTATATGCTGATGACAATATAGTAGCAGTCTAAACAGAAAATGTCTGCCTTTGCAAGAAGTGTTTCAACAAAATGATTACAGAGAGTGAGAGTGAAATCGTAACGAAGTCTAAATGGATGAAAATAATGGGGGGAAATTTGCAACTAGATATTAACGTTTTAAAATATTATTGAAATATTGATATATGCAGGATATTCTCATCTATCCACATTCAAGGAGACAATAATTATAATAGATGATTTCGCAAATTATTTTGGTTGCATCACATATTAAAGTTAGTACAGAAAGGTGATAAAATTTCCCGAAACTCGATTGATTTAATAAGGCAATGCAATGACGCTTAATAAGTAAGTGCAAAACGGTGATAGAATTTCCTAAAACTCGGGTTGATTTAGTGAGGCAATGTTAATACTGTGATCTCTAAAATCGACCCAGCTGTTATTAACATTTTCCTCTCAAGTATTAGATCAATTACCAGCTGCTAACCGTGTTTCCGCATGGGATCTCGACATAAATGTTTGCACTGAAATTCCCGATTACAAGACGGAGAAGAATCAGGAGTTGTCTATTGTGTTTTAAAACATAACTGTCATCAAAATGTTTGACAATGATCTCAGAATAAAAGAAAAGATTTTATTGAGCTCTCCATATGTTGCACAAGTATACAGACATCGAATTATCTTTTTCGCGTACATGTATATATAATGTAGGTAAAAGCATTTATCAAGATGTATTGGCTTTTCTTAGAAAGGTTGCTGTGTACGATTAACTGGACAAATGTTCTTGACAATTACAAGGCTACATATTGCATGTATTGTTTCTTAGTTGTACTGAATAATATTTTGTTTACGACAGAGAAATGAAAAGTTAAAAGAAAATTATTTTGCTTATATTTTAAAAGAATTGAAAAGGGATTTATGTTTATTTTTGTTTAACGCCCCTTCGAGAAATTTTCACTCATATTGAAACGTCACCACTTGCCAATGAAGGACTGCAAATTAGACCTGTATTCGGCACTTAGGCCTTTAAGCAGTGAGGGATGAAAAGGGTATTAAAAAGAATGCTGAAAATTGTACGGATTGCACATACATTGGATATCAAACAAATCCCGCTATTCATCTCATAGACAAGATTGATAAAAATGCTTTATTTACTGTAAAAACAATTATTTTCGTAGGGACAATTTTTGTGGTTGGAGGAAAAATATATTAGTTCGTGTACCATGATGTCGTGGGTCAGGGTGCATATAGATGAACACGATACTGTTTTTCGGAATTTCAACATTTCCCAGAGGCCCATGAATTAGTTAGTAATCTTTTCATATAACCAAAAGTAAACCCACAACGACAATATATTTATTTTAATTGTGTATGTGTTCCAATCTTATTCAACATCAATGTTTCTCTTTAAAATACGAAAAAAAGAAGCAAAAACATTCAAAAACGCACTATTCCGATACCTTTGCAGTGGATGTAATTTCTAGATAACATTAAATCATATGATGGTCGTGTAATAATATTTATAATATAGTTTATAGTTAATTATAAATTGTGCCTAAGAAAGGTATATTTCTGATATTTAAAGAACAAAAATATTAATATGGCGTGGATTACTGAAGGTCGGGGTCTAGAGTAGCATTTTACGCTGAGTGTGTCTGTAGCCCCCACTCCCCCCCCCCCTCACTTATGGTTCCTTGGGTGAAAAAGTTGATACCGGTGAAGAGCAATCGGATTTTTTTCAATTTATCTAAAAAATCGGATGCACTTTAATCGATTAGAAATCGATAGATTTCAAGCATTAAATTTGTTATTTTTAAATGAAGAATAAATTGATTTTAAAAAAGTCTGGAATGATTTCTAAAATGCAATTTTGATATATTTTGTATTATTGGATTCATTTATTAAATTTTTACTTAGGATTGAGTTACATTCAATTAAGGAATGTTTTTTAAGTTTTGTGTGAGTTATTGGTGTGTAAATCACACAGACTTGTCACGTAGGCATAATTCACGAAGCGCGCTAGCGCTTCATGAAAAATATGCCTACGTGCAAGTCTGTCTGATTTACACACAAATAACTCATACTAAACTTAAAAACATTCCTTATACTTACATTTTACAAGTTTAAAAGCACCAATAATATACTCAATATTTGAATTTCTTGCTGCCCTATATCGTTACATTTTTATTTACGTCTCTGTAGCCTCATTGTGACGTCACTTTAGCCCGAGTTTCACCGTGTATATTTCTACGCGTGAGTATACACAAAAATGACTTTCAAATCAATTTCACAGTTGGCTTAGTAGAAAAACACAGCAAATGTAAATATAGAAGAATGAATCAAGAAATCATAGAATAATTTGCTTTTAACAAATATTTTGATTAATCGATTATCAAAATTGCAATCGATCATCTATAGTCGGGGATCATGTCGATTAGATAATCGATTAATCAGTACATCACTAGTAACAGTACTGTTGATACTTCCTATGACTTTATGACAAATCACGTACGTATACGTGCTAAACATGAGAACAAATTAACATTGATGCCTAGAATGTAAGTAATCTGTGCAATAGGCATATATGCGTTCAAAGATATTTAAGGGTTAAAACTGGTATTTATCTCGGACAGAAATTTGTAAAAAATAAAAATGTGAATCACCAGTCAATATGAACATATCTATTTTTGCAGTCATAACCTTAAAGATTTGAACAATTTTAAAATTGATAAAATTTGTATGTACAGTGTATAATGATCATTGAAAACACATTTTTAAAAATCATCTAAATTGCAAGTTGTTGAAAAAGACATGTGTTTGTGAATGTACAAAAATACAATTTCGCAGAGTCAGAGTCGGTTTAATTCATATCATATAATTGGAAACTCCATCACTCCTTATGATATATAGTTTTTATTTCTTTCTTTCTTTTTTTTTTTTTTTTTTGCTTTTAATAAAGAAATTTGACTGGGTTTGGTTCCCCACCCTCGGAAAAAAATATTATATCCACTCTTGCTTTCCGTGACTTACCTGGGGTACGCTAAATAAGGCACTGAGGAACCACGACATGATGATCATTATTTTAACCCTCTGTGGAGCTTTGTTCCGGCTAATTGGATCAGTAATAACACAGCATCTATCTAGACTAATCACAACGGTTATGTATGTGGACACTAAAAGTCCCGTCCCTTGAATAAAGCGCAGCATCTTGCACATGGCTACGCCTGCCACCCATTGGACAGTAAGTGCCCATATAGCTTCCGCTGCCATACAAAAGAAAGTAACAATGAGGTCCGAAATTGCCAGATTCACGATAAGGGTGTTTATCGTGGAACGCCGTTTGCGAACACGATACATTTGAATCAAAGTCGCTGTATTTCCTATTAATGAAATTGTAAAGAGAACGACAAGTACTACTGTTTTGACTAAACTGTCCTGAAATGTTGGTGGAAGAGGGGAGGTGAAGTCAACTGTGAACAAAGATTCAATTTCCGTAACATTGGTCATATTTTCAGATCCGTTGGAATTCACTCCGCCGATCGCTGAAGAAGAAATACCGTAACTATGGTACGGCGCTATGTGAAGAGATTTTCCAGACATACTTAAATTCAACACAATTTTAACACATTTTTTTTTAAATTTGTAATTATGTATTTTTAGCAGGTATTCGCAATTGTTACATTTAAGTATCGGAAGCGTTCGAGCTGCTGTGTCTTTCTATAATCATTCACGCTGGTCTTATAATGGGGAAAATCTACACGAATTGGCGATATCGATTATACGTCTAGATGGCGTGGTTTCATATAAAATCATCTCCTCCTTTAAAGAATTGTTCTTTCTTTATACGGAGGAACTTTCTATTTTTCTACCTGTGCGCGGTGTGTATATCACGATATGGACGGTTCTCTTCCTACAAATGAATGTTATTTCATTTTTATTGTTACGACAAGCTGGATGAAGATGTAAAACATATTTATTAATGTCCCCTAACAATTAAAAGCAAGGAATATTTTTCTTTGTAAATTCTGAAACGCCCCTGGTTTGTAAACTTAACTACATATGGAGTGGATCTTCGTAACATTGAGAAACTTTTTGCATGCTGGGTAAAAACCAATTAGCTTACATTCTCTACAGGTACTAATTATAGTGACAGTGAGCTTGGACAGCCAGTATCTAATTGAGCAAATATTGGTGACCTGTTGAGAAAGAAAATGCATTGACGTACGTTAGTAAACTTGCCGTTTAAATGATTAAATACATTATCTATGGACTTAAAGTTGTATTGGACGTTGTAAATAGATAAGCAAATAACCAGACCGTAAAAATAATAAAGGGATACATCTTTGCAGTTTAATTAACCAATATCATGATAAAGTAAAGAGGGAAATCCAGTTAAATCTATCTGGCGTAGAGCATGATACATGTATGAAAAGCATTTGTGAGAAAACCAGCAATTGTTGAACCTTTTATTTATTCATGTACAACGCTTGAAACAATCATTTTTTTTTGCAATTAGGTCTAAAGAGTGTCACTCGCACGATACCATCTACCCCCCCCCCCCCCATTTCCCCTTATAATACGAACTTTGCATCAAAGTACTCAGAAGTACAGAGAACCGGGCTCATTTACAGAGTATTCAACAAAGACCGTTTTACATGAAACATACATTGTAATATAGCAGATAAATAACACGAAGTTAAAAAAATGGATGAATATGTAACACAAAAAAGGATATTTCTGTGGCATATAACATAAAAAAAATGCCAAAAATGAGAAATACAGTTAGAATTTAACAGACTAAACATTTCTTGGGTCTTATGTCAATTACAGAAGTAAATAAACATTCATGCAGCAAGGCCAAACGTTTGTGCACAGATGAGTCCTCGGCGGGGAGTTTCGCAGCAAGGTATACATCAGGTCACATGCTACCCGCATCAGGGTAGCCTGGTAACAGAACCTGTTATTATAGAATGTGACGCAGACAGGGGGACTTGATGAGAACCTTTCGCATATTTTAACCAAATAATTAATAGACGAACATCTTACCATTAAGGACAGAAGATACAAACAAATTTTTATCAAAAGTCTTGAAAATAACAACTAAAGTCATGTTTATATAAGAAAACTGAATAATTTTAACCGCATAGATATTCATTTTTCTTTTAAAATTTCACAATAATTGGATTTGAAGTGACAAAAAATTATTTGTATAGATTAATAAGGAAATTTGCAAAAAGGTGGACTTTTGAACATCGTAGAAAGTTTACAATTTCTTAATATTTTAGAAATTTAATATTCTAATCATTTAGAACCAAAATAGGCCAAAAAAAATATATACCAATCCAGGCATCCATTTTTTGTTTGTATCATCTGTCCTTAAAGTTTATTTGATTAGAAAATTCCCCAGTTTGTTTACTTTAGTGTTTGTTTTGTATCAAAAGCGACTGAGCATACGTACTATATTTTTACTCGAAATTTTGATTTGGCGGTAAGGAAGCAGTATATCCGGTTGAACACCGTGACAGAAACCGTGACAGGGTCAGAGTTAACCTGGCACAACCGAATGTAAACGAACGGATCAGTCTGCATGATTTCCTTACCCGTTTTTCTTCGTCTTTGTAGAGAATCAGGCTATCATGACAACATTGACAATCAAAAACCTTACGCATATGAATTTAGCTGTAAGATTTGTAATTTAAGACTGCAATTTTCAAAATCATTACTTTTAATGTTTATTTGTAAAGAAATTAAAATCTTCGTTTTATTTTTGTTGTTATATTATATTTGTATTATCTCAAAAAGCGGTTGAGAGTAAGTGCTATATTTTTACATGTAAATTTATTTTGGCGGCTGTGCGGTCAACTTCTGCTTGTACAAGCTGACAATAGCCGGTAATTACTCTTTGAGCAATGAGCCCGGCTAAAAACAAAAGGCCCACGGGCCTCAAGAGTCATCTGAGTATAATTCAACACTGTAAAGGATCTACGGAACATTTTAATGATTGTATTATAAGAAAACAAAATAAACTGACAGATAAAGATATGCTGCTCAAAAACAAGACGAATAGGACGATCAGGGATCAACAACTTAGAAAGTAGATCTACATATTTGCCAGTTCTAACAACACTCTATCACTAAAACCAAACTTAACAACACAACACTGATTTACCAAAAGACAAAGTATTCACGTAGTAAAGCAAGCACGATACTCATACCACTGGGCCTCTCTTAGTCTCTGGATTACATTTAATGTACAGAATAACGGTATTTATGTCTCATTTTTTATTCATCTATTATGTACATATCAAAACTATAAGAGTATTTTTTTTTAATTATACTTTGAATCTTTTATTCGATTATTTACAGTGATTAATTATCATAGTTGAATAACAAAGGAGAATAACCTCTCTTAAAGCAGCTTTGCAATTTCACGCATTTTCACTTCACGATCGAGTCCTCTCCTAACACCGTAACCCCTGACCTAGGGGCCACGATTTTACAATTTTGGAAAAAGCACCCTTGCAAATCATATCTCTGTTTGTCAGCGAAAGATTCTAAAAGGATTTATGCTAGGGATGTCAAAATTGTCAATAATTTCATATTCGAATATTCGATAGGAGTATTCGAATATTCGACAAAATAAATAAGTCTTGGATTAATATATATATATATATATATATATATATATATATATATATATATATATATATATATATAAAATATTATATAATTGAATAAATCACATCTCTCTCATTAGCTGAGATCCAACAATGTTAGAAAAATACTACATTATATTGACCTGCACATGACCTTCCAGGTCAATATAAGGAATTATTTATTCTACATTGGACCAAAAATAGATAGGGAAATTCCAATTGATGCAAATAGTTTTGGAAAGTTATTTCACTTGCGCCTGACTTCCACTCATATGAACATAACATTAAGGCACATAGATTCTTAAGTGAGGGGTGGGGTGGGTGGGGGGGTGCAGGAGGCCTGTCCCTCTCCCCACCTTTTGAGAATGTGAAGTTTTAATTTAAACTTTAAGGATAAAAAAATTCAATGAAAGCCCCCCTCCCCTCGTTTATTGACCTTTACATCCCACTAAATAAAATTTTAAGTTGGGAGAATTCTTTTCCTTTTTTTGAAGGGGGGGGGGCGTAGTCAAAGATGGCATGGATTGCTTAATGAGTGTCATTTAATCATTGAATCATATAATAAAACAATTATTGCTGTTTTTTCGGTCAATACGATGATTTAGCCACCTTCGAAGTACAATATTCACCTCGCCCTTTGGGCTCGGTGAATACTGTACTCCTCAGCTAGTACACGTTTAATGCTGTTATTTATTCTTCTTCTAGTTTTATGTAGAGTTTTGTAAATGTACAGTAACTTAAGTATCTTAATTTATAAAATATTTCTCAATATTTTATAGAGTACACTGTATATTGACCTTAAGTGTATACATCTAAAATATAATTCAAAAAATATTTTGAAAATTCAAAAGATTAATTGATCGTCTTACCAAAGACTACACTGATACATGTAACTCTTACGACTTTATACCGTGCAGAACAATATCTGCTGGATAATTGATATTTCATGTTTTAAAAATAAAAACAAACAACTTTAAAGCAATTATTTTTAGTAAATTAATATTCTGATAATGATATATAAATAAACAAGGAATCCATGCGTTTATTGTAAAACTGTCCTTACAACAATACAAACTGATTGTAAATACTGGACACTGTAATACATATGTACCACTAATTCAATGACCAAATGAATAATTTATTTTGATAGACACACACTTCACATTTTTAACATAATCCAAGAGGAATGTCCATTAATTTTGTTTTAATATTATACATATATATCATACATATTATACATATACATGTAATTCAAAATAAAATGTAATCAATTGAACTTGATTAAATTTCTAAAAAAAACTTTTTTCTCTCGTGTAAAATGAATGCAAATATACTTGAAAAAAAGAATATTCGAATCATAAATTCGAATATCAACTCATCGAATGAATATTCGTCGATATCCCTAATTTATGCATTTTCCCTCATGTATATAATCTATAGAGCTCCATCATAACACCAAAACCCTTGGCCCTAGGGCCGTGAATTTTAAAATTTGGTTGCGTGTTCAATTTTTATCATAATGCAACATTTGATGGCTTGATGTCCAGGAGGTAAAAGATTGTTTGAATATTTTATTAAATTTTATGGCCGCACCCCTTAGGCAGACACCGTTTTGGTGATTTTCAATTAAGAGGGTTGGGTGGTTGTGACCATTTTCAGACTATATTGATCTCCTTTAGAAGAAGAGCTCCATATAAAGATATACAAAAATGATCAAATTTTAAAACTAAAATGTATAAAATTTTTGTTTGCCAAATGATAGTTGACAGCATAAGACATCATATCTAAAAAATTAAGTTATATCTGATGGTAAATTTCTTGACCCCCCATCCTCCTCATACTGTTTTTATATATTTTTAAATTTCAAGTCCGTCAGATGGGACGTTAAATGGTGCCCCGTGTCAAGGATTGTGCTAAAGATTGATTGATTGTATGTTGTTTAACGTCCCTCTTGAGAATTTTTCACTTAT